TTTAGTATCTTACCCGTATCCAAGGTTTGGCATTAAGATAGTATATATATAAGGTGAGAGGATTTGAACAATGACAGCAAAATTCCCTTTCAAATAGCACAAGAGGCACATACATTTTTTCCAATGGAAAATATGATGGATGCTGACGGAATGGCAATACTGGACCAGTCTTGATCGTTTAGCCAAATTGTGAAAAAAAAAAATTATAGAAAAGTGCCAGAGTGAAATTTGCAAAATATTTTAAGAAGCAGTCTTTTTTTAACATTTTTTTCCTTGAAACTACAAAATGAAAGTGAATGTTTTTTTTTCCTGCAATTTCCCTCAATTCTTGCGCTCTAGATAAGTGGAAGATTGATCAAACAATTCAATAAGTTGGTACCCAATTTTCTGTTGTTTGTGCTGTTCAATTACACCAATAAAGCACAAGAAAATACACACCTTACATTGATTCTTTAGCATGAATAGAAAAAAATAAATGTCAAGCGTCAAAATATGGATGATAGATGCGAGAAGAGGGAGAAGTAAGAACCGAGACATCTTCCTTGTGGTCTTGGTCAAGGGCACGAGACAAGACCACAAGAGTTTTAATTGGTGAAGTTTAAATGTACATGAAATCTAAAATTACTGTAGTTGAGGGTGGGTGTTATGTCCTAAGATTGTTTCATTGTGATTTAGGCATTAAAGTTTTGATTTGAGAAACAGTCTCTCTGTATTAAGGTAAAACTATGTATTTATGACCTTTCTCAAACCCACAATAGAACCACCTTATGCACTAGACCGTCCTTTTTTATTAATATGAAATTACTGTAGTTTATTATAAGGTTATAAGAAGAAGAAAATACCCTAATGAAGCCTTGTGCTTCGTTTTAACATTATTTGTAGTTTTTACACCCAAACTTTTATTTTCCCATGTGGACTATAATGCCAAAACATTGAAGTGTGAGCTTGTTGTATTTTTGATAGTTGTATTTAAAATTATGAGTAAATTGCTTTTTACCCCCTATAGTTTCGAGTAGAGCACCTTATTTACTTGACGTTTAAAATTATGTCAATTATTCCCTTATAGTTATATACCAAAGTGAAATGATTATTTTTATCATTTAAGTTAACCGTCCAAAAGAACATTGTTAAAGTGCTTAAAATATCCTTTATAATATATTCATACCCAAATAGGTAAGACATCGGTCCTAAATCAAAAAATATGTAAGAAAAACATAAATTATTTTTGGTCCCGGCACAAAACCATATTTGAGGGAAAAAGAGACTCAACGTATTTGATTGAAATGTGTTGCTTTGTTGTCATGTTCCATTAATTTTATGGTCAACAGTAAATCAGATGAAAAGTTATATTTTAAAACATGGGTATTATGGTAATTTTTTAATTCCACTAACGACATCAATTACTTCACTTTGGTGCATAACCATAAAGGGGTAATGTGCATAATTTTAAACGTCAAGTATGTAAGGTGCTTTCAGTCGAATCCACAAGGGAGTAAGTGACGTTTATCGATAAACTAATCAAATTTAAATTTAGTGACAGTGTCAAAAAAATTATAAAAGACTATTCTGGAAAATTCTTGCAATCTTTTCAGTTATTTTTAATTAAGCTAAAAAGTGAAGTTTAGGCCACTTTTCAAACATGTTTCTGTTTTTATCCATGCTTAGGGATTTTTGTAATTCTGCATATTCTATTTTTGGCTATAAATATTATTCAGCAGCTTTGGTATCTTGATAGTAATATTACAAAGAATGTTTTCTGTCTTCTCTCAATTGTCTTGGTTTTATTATGAGTCAACAAGGCTCTCGAATGCTATAATTTAGTATTATTGCGACATTAAATTATGATTTTTGTTGTTTAATTCAAAAATTTTCTTCACGTTTCCCTGCAACAAGACAAGAGGCTCACGAGGTTTAAGATTAAGACGATTGAGCAGGTTGGTATTTTGGTATTGTCGCTACATTAAATTCTAAATCAATCCACATAATACTTGCTATATTTAGAAATGAGAATAAGAATTATTCAACATTAGTTAAAGAGTAATGCTATACTGATCAAATTTTCGGATCGAATCGAGAGCCCAAATGATATGACACTTGATTATTTGAAGTTTTTATTGGAACTCAAATGACATAGCACCACATAAAGAAGTCCAAGTCAGGTGTCATGTCATTTGAGCTCTTGATTTGGTCCCAAAATTTGGTCATTGTAGCATTACTGTTAGTTAAATAGGCTATTCATGTTTGCTACATACTAGATCCATATATTGTTAATGTCAATTTGTTGAGACTAGCACACTGGTTCCACAACTCTGATACCACTGATTGGGATATAAAAAGTCCACTGCTATGAGACTCAATAGCATGATTTGTCTCATTTATCACATTGGGAGTGGAGAGCCTTGTAGCCTTTTCTTTCTTTGTGTAATTTGCAGGTTCAAAATTCAAATGACTGTTTGATCCTCAAAAGCCCTTGATATTTGCCCGTTTAAGATCTTTTAATTAATTTAGTCGCTTCTCATCAACAAAACAATCTAATACAAGGATATTGTTTTATGGCATGTGCTTCTTGTCTTGTTGATCTATAATCATCATTTAATTTTGATGCTATAATTCTAATTATTAATGTTGTGGGGCGTAACTTTGTTTCTACATAAACCATTGTTATTTTTATAACTATTGTATGTTTAGCATAATTATTAATTTTAATAATTATCATTTATTATTTGATAATGATAATTAAAGCACAAGCCGAGCATGTAAGCTCTGTAGCTTTATTTTATAAGGGGGGCTCTGGAAGAATTTTAGCTCCTTGCTCACCAGCACTTTAGCTCGACAGTTTTTCAGCTCGGCTCAGCTTGACTAATTCAAGCCAGTTGAAATATTTAAGCTGGAAGGCGCCAATTTCTGTTCCACTTTCAGTGTCATTTCATTCAAATAAATGTTGAAGATCTACAATGGTAGAATCCATTGACCTATAAAAAGGCCATGTTATGCATCATCCAGGTATGTAATCCATTCCAAGTTACATACACTTCTCCCCGTCATTATTTTTTGAATACATCTTTTGCCTTCTACTTCTTTTGCAGGAAAAGTCCTAATGGTTGCCAGAACACAACTCCGGCAATCCATCTTGGTGAACAAATTATGGGATCAACATTATTTATTTTATGACAGATCCGATCGATCGCCCCAACAATTGAACTAGTGACCCATTGATCCAATTTTTTTTTCGGGTTAATGTTCAGGCCAATTTTAATAAATGTAGGATTTAGAGTTTATTGTGTGCCGTAATTGGTCAAAAATAAATAGTTTTATGTCTAATGTGTGGAAACTTTGTTTTGTAGGGTTGTGTATGTAATTATGGAGAATTGGGGTAGTAAAGTGCAAAAAGAAAACACAAAGTAGGAAATCATTAACTCACTGGCGTCTGGATGGTTCAGTCAGCATCCCAAAGGTTGCTGAAAGTCAAAAATTCAACAAAGAGGGCTTCAAGGAAAATTCCAGAGAGTTACCACCGTCCTGATGGTGGTGGTTGCGTCCAGACAGTGCTCTTAACCTCCTCAACTCCAAAAATCTTCTCCCTTTGGTTGGATGATGCAACAAGTGATCCTATTGATCAGTTCTATTTGAACTGATTTAGAGCAACTTGGAAGGCCTATAAATAGGCATGTTTGGGGTCATTTTCAACAAGTTTTCTTCCACCTTCGAAGGCTAGACTCTTGGAAGAAATTACCTTACCCTAAACACTCCTAAGCCAAATATCTTCTTCTATATTTCTTATTTTTTCTTTCTACTTGGAGGGTTAAACTCATCTCACTTTGTTGCCCTAGTTTGGTAATAAGAATGAGATTGTTTCAATTATTCCTCAGGGAAGGACTTGTGGTGTTTTATTTTTTATTTTCATTGTAATGGGATTCACTTACTCTTTTTGCTCGTCTATGGCAATGAAGAGTGAGTAATCTCTCTTTTACTCTTTAGTGAGGGGTGAAGACATGTGTAACATTGCTTGAATAATGAAAGTGTCAATGTTTTATTTATGCTTTAATGTTTATACCTCCCCTAAAAGATGGATGATTTTCATTTATATTTAGTCTTATGTATTACTATGTATAACTAGGGTTATGCTCATGGTTACGAGTACCTAGCTAGGTTTACTGTTTATTTTCATTCTATTTATACTTTATTATGTACTTCGAGCTCATTTGGTTGTCGTATTAGAAATTGACGAATTAGATAAAGTAATGTAGGCTAATACAATAAAGATGGATAAAATATAAGATTAAATGAGGTTTTAGAATAATACGTAATTTTATCTAGTGTTTGACATACACAATATAAGCATTGGATAGTCGTTATTTAGTCAAATCTATTGTTTGGTTAGAGAATTATTTCATCGTATTAATGTTAAATTAACAAAATATCCTCAATCAATTATAGTGTTTGGCACTGCCAACAACATAAATGATATCATGATCCCCTCCAAATACCATCGGCATTAATTGGGAATATGATCGAGATTTACCCCCATTATCAAAAAGATCAAGTTTATTCATTTTATACTTACAAAAAAAAATTCATTAAGTTAAAAAAATTCCATTGAGTTAATAATAGTAATAATTAATTCACAATAATATCAATAAAAATACCATCAATCAAAAAAATAAAACTTTATTTGAATCAATGCATTTATATAAATCATTCTCAAAACCATTACAAATCCACATAACAACTCAAAACTATGAATAAAATCTAAAAAAAAAATTAAAGTCACATTAAAGCCAATGTTAGGTAAACTTATTTATTACTAAAACTAGAAAATGACATGAATTCGTCACTGAAGTGAAAATCTTCTCACTTTAAAGTTTACCACCAATAAGTATTTGCAACCAATATGGCTTCACACTATCGAGAAAGCTGAAGAAGTAGTCGACCATTTTCTGATAATTCATAATTATCTGCCCAGCTTTTATTCTACCAAAGAAATTTTGCCCCTCAATTTGCTAAAGTACACCATAGACCACAGCTCTTTTGTCAACAATGTCATATGCATATCCCAAGCATTTAGCCATGTCCCCTAGTACTTGAGTACTCTCGAAAAGAAAAGAAGTAAGTACTTTTTTAATATCTCCTAATCCAGAATCAACTCTCTTCCTCTTATTTTTTTTTCCAAGCGAGGACCCAACATTTTCATTCGAGTTTTGAGTTACTCCATTGGACCCCCCAATGTCATCATAACCCACCATTTCAACTTCATTGGTGGATCCACCATTTACTCCTTCTCTAGCCAGCTCCTCAAGAAAGTCACCTGGAGCCTCCGCATGTTCACCTGTGGCCATATCTTTCTCAAATATGACACAATTGATTATAAAATGGAAAGGATTTGGTTCTTATCCCATCCGCATTTTGCTCTTTATACATTAAAAAAGATAGATTATATTATTTGGAAAACATGTTAAAATTCATAAAGCAAAAAAAATTACTCAAATTAATTATTACCTTAAACTCTTCCCAACCTATCAGAATACTATACAACAACTACAATCCCATGGGGGAAAAGAACTAACTATAATAAGCAAATAATCTAATTAAATAATAGGTAGGATTAATTCTCAACGTCTTATTATAGTTTTCCTCCAAAGCAAAAAAGTGATAATTTTATGATCCCAACCGGAAAGCTTTACAACAACACTTAGGACACCAAAAAAATATGTTGATGTTGCATGATTTTTTTTTTTTTTTTTTGTTTGAAGAGATTGCATGAACAAAAAGATGAAGCATGATGGGAAAAGACAAAGCATGACCGAAAATCCAAAGCATAACCGAGAGACCGTACACCCATTTTTTGTTTTTTTTTGGTATGTGAAGAGATTGTATGTTCGACAAGCTGAAGCATGTTTTTTATTTTTTTGGTCCAAAAAGGATGAACCATTAGAAGATCAAAATAACAAAAAACAAAATGAAAAAAAAATCTGATACTCAATAAATCCAAATAGAATATCATTTAAACGGACCTATTATCGATCCAAACTCGAAAAGTGATGCATCTTTTACCATAGTCCTATGGTTTTGTCGACCTTGCAGAGACGAAGGCCTCTTGTTGATAGCAGCCGGTTAAGAACAATGAGAGTGAGAAGGGTGCGTTTGACAAAGTGTATTCTTGATTTTATTAGCTATGGGGGTTATAATAATAATTTTGTAAAATAATACATTGATCTGGATTATAATACCACATTTGATTAACCCTAATTAGGATATGAATTAACATAATAATTAAACTAACTTAATAAGATAAAACATTTAAAAACTGTTAATTAGGGTTTGTGCGTAAGCTAGGATTTTAATTGTTTTAGTGTTTGAAATATCAGGGTTTTTGTGCGGAATTGCCAAAAATTACGAGGATCAATTTGTGAAAGCTTGAAAGATCAAGGGATCAAAGTATGAATCAACCAAGAGAAGCAAACATGACAGCATGATCAAGAGCAAAATTCTAGCAAGGCGCCGCTGTCTGGACAGTGGCTCTTGGCGTCCAGACAGTGGCCCTTTGTGGCTCATCTTTATTCTCCACCTCTTGCTTTGAGCTTTGCCTATATATATACATGGCCTCTTCACTTCCAAATTATTGTCTTTTAATACCCTATTTGCACATTTTATTTATTTAAATTAGTTATAAATCTAAGCTCACATCACAAGCTATCTATTGTTACACTACTTTAATAATAACTTCACTATTCTTATTTTAAATTCTAAATTACTAAAAACTCTTCGTGGGATCGATCTTGGACTTAAACCGAGAAAACTATAATTCGACCACTTATACTTGGGAGTATTATATAAATCTGATCACAGAATAGTTTGAATCAACATTTTCTGGTGGTATTAAAATATCTTCATAATACGGGTCTGTTGTATAAAAAATATACAAAAAGTATATGATTAGTATACGTTTTAAAAATTAATACAAACTCAAAATTTCTTACCAAACAAAGTATTATATCTGATTAATAAAAAATAGTACAATATAATATTTAATCCTCTCATAATATGTCTATCAAATGAGCCCTTCATGCATGATACAATGATGCATGTAATTGAAATGTATGAAACAGTTGAGATATTGATTATAGATGGGTTAAATCTTTCCATAGCCAATTCTTTTGATTCAATGCATAAATCAAAACTCCATCTTCATTGAAACATAGACCTGCCAATCAAATAGCTATAGTAAACCATTTAAATGATTCACCTTCGGGTTTACTATAGTTATTTGGTTGGTGTATGGTGCACAAACATTCCGCCTAACTTAACAATTGCTGTGATATGGTGAATTTGTGTAAGTTGGCATTTTCATAGTCAAGCAATAGAATGCATGTTGAATTCCTGAACTAAAGAGTACCTTTTCAATTGGCTATAGTCAAAGTTTAGTTTAAGTGTTTATTTATTAATTTTTAAGCTCACATCATAAGTTGTTGTAATGCACACTACTCGCATGGTAATTTCACCCTCTCTATTTTAAAGTTCCAACAGATAACTCCCTACGGATTTTACATCGAACTTCACCGAGTAATATTATAACTTGACCACTTATACTTGGGTGTACGATTAAGATCAAGTCATATGTTTATTAAAAATTCACCTCAACCAAAAAAGGCAAACACGATGTGTTTGATTGGGTGTGTCTCATAGAATTTACCTCAATCTAGTATTATTGCTTGACCTATTTCTCCACATGCATTCTCATGTTTATCTCTGTGGTTTGAGGTTTGGGGATCAGAGTGTGTGATGACATCCTAATGATTATGCAGGAATTTTGCCAAAAATATAGTGAGAACTGAAATCCAAACAAACGCAAAAAGAACAAATGGGAACCAAAAGCTCTCAAGGCCGAGGCTATTTGTAGAAACCAAGTGAGTAGGGTTTGGGCAATTGGCTTGTTTCTTCAACCACTTCTTCTCAATTTATAGCATTTTTGTCACCCTCTGTCACATTTAACACTGCTCTTGAAATATCAGGGACTAGAGGGGAGCCTATTGGGAAGACCTGTCTATTATCAATGGAATATTCTATTCAGTCACTTGAGGAGATAGAGAGGAAGAGAGAGAGAGAGAGAGAGAGAGAGAGAGAGAGAGAGAGAGAGAGAGAGAGAGAGAGAGAGAGAGAACTTACAAAGGCAAATCTATCAATTGTATATGTTGGTTCCACTATGGTATATTTGGAGCGATATTTTTTAAGGAAAAGCTTTGCGTAGGGTGTTTCATCAAAAGCAGCTACAATACCCTCATTTTCACTCTCTTTAGAAAGGAAGGCATCACATTCGTATGGAGTGTTGAAGGCTCTAATCTTGGACTCATCGAAGTTCATCCGCTGCAAGAGTTGTAAAATGAAAGAGTCGTTGTGGTAACCCACATACTCCCCATTCCTTAAAAGTTCTTTTGCATTAATAATAGTTGGTTAAAGTTGTTGAGCCGTTAACACCATGGTCACTATTATCAGCACAATCACTCAAATAATCCCCACGAACTCGTGATATTTACAAAAAGAATCAATATTAGTGAAAATAGGAGAAATGAAAATTGCTGATAGCATAAACCATGATTGAGAAGGAGAATCAGAACATCATGCGAATATGAAGTGAAGGTTGGCCCCCTAAAATCTTAGTTTACTGGATGTTCTAGAACCCATATCACAAAACCAACGAAAACAAATGAACAAAAGATTGTCACCCAAAGTTTGTCGGCAAATGGCTTCAAGAACATTCGTGCATCCATGTTATTTTTATACTTGATTTGCTCGATCATTGATACACCAGACTCGATGTGCGACAGAGTAAAATCCACATATTGGGACCTGTTTGCTATGATAGTAACATCTCAAACTACAGCATCATACTCCTGTACATTATCCACATAAGCAAAATTCCCATTATCAAGGAAGAGTTATGAATTTATTTTTCATCCTATGAAAGTGTATGACTAGTTCAAGGTGAATGATTTTTTATCAAAGCCTCATAAATAAGCATGAATGGTTTAAGCATAGCCAAAAATCTATGTAGAGAACAATTTCTTATCACCAATAAGGAAGAAACAATGTTTGCAAATTGTTTTGCTGTCAAATATGTTACCTGCCTGCAAGTTTTCCCATAATTGTTAAGCCTAAAGTTTTTCTTTGGAACTATTTGCAATATATTTTCTATATTTTCAATAAAATGAAAATGAGAGAGAGAGAGAGAGAAAGAGAGAGTTACCCTGGGATACACTTGATACACCAAGTCATTGTATGTACCATCCATCTTACCATCAAGATTTGCGACAAGTATATTTTCATAAGGAATATGATACGGTAATGTTGCCATTCTAGCTTCAAAGACTTCTATGCAGTATCCTAAGGCTGTCATCTTGTTAGTTCTAGGATCTCAGGATACCATTACAAAATCTGGGAAACGATCCTTAACTGGTACTCCAATTCTTAGCTTTATGCCATTTGTCAGAATCGCCCAGCCTTTTGGAGGAGATGCGATATCACCTGGGGATATGATAGCTTTAAAATTAGCATTCACAATGGAATTTGAATTTGGATTTTTGGAATTCAAATCCCTACGCATTCCTTTTTCTTCTATCCAGAATCCGACCACTCTCTCCCCATTGTCAATCACATTAATTATCTGATAAACTAATGATTGTAGTTGGGCATCAGCTGTGTTGAAATCACCACTAAGTTAAATGTCAAACTTCATAGTGTCTAAATAAGCTTCGAACCATGTTTAGAACCTCCAAGTGCTTCAAGGTCTGTCAGATTTCTAGCCGCATTTTCCTTCTCAAAGCCAATATTTGTATCCCCTACTTTCTCAATCGCTATGGCTAGTGCCTTGGTAGCATCGTATGCCCATAGTTCATAAACACTCAACTCGGCCATAGGTACACCTGAATTATCTTGTTGGAATGTCCTTTTCCATTGAATGCTGAATTTTTTGATCTCTTCTATTTGGGGAACATAAGGTTTTACACCTATTACTCATTGCATGAAATGAATGACCAAAGGATCTAATGAACTCAAGTCATTAGTTAAGCCACTGGTTATGATCCAGACATATCCTTCACTAATATCTCCAATCTCTTTTGCTTTGGTAGAGAGCCTAGAGCCAAGGGAGGGCAACATGTGCACGATGAAAACTCTAGTTTGCGTTGCCATAAACTTCTGAAGTTCTGCAACAATTTTTTCATCTGTGGTCAATGGAGGAATGGCACTCCTATAGGGTACACGAGTGTCAATCTCTTGCAAGGCGTTGATCAAAATTGTATGAGACCCCGTCCGAACTCATTATCTATTTATATGGGCAAGACTGCTCTCCATCCACAGGCATTAACAGTTGTAGCTATGGCTTCTACTTGAGATGGGTCACTAGATGTGACACGAAAGAAATATGGACTTTGAATCAATGAGAGGGAAAGGCTCATTGTAGAAAATGAAATTATGGGAACATGAGCTATTTCTCCCAAATCTAATACAGCATTGCCCTATGTGGATGTTTGCCGTCCTATTATGGCTTGCACTTTTAACATTTTTCAATAGGTCTAGAACTGGTAGGCAATATAGGAAGAAAGGTCTGTGATATGCAAACTCCAGAAAAATAGAAAAAAAAAAAAAATTAACCAAAGAAGTCATGGTAACTTGGAGTCACAAACAGATTTTATTAGGACCTGGGTGTTCTTGTTCCCACGATGTTGGTATGTATGTTTTATGTGGGAAAATAAAATCTATGACATTGGTGCAACGGACTTCATAGAATGGTTGGACCAAGCAGAAATCAAAAAATGCAACCATAGACATAACAGATCTGAGCCCCCAAAATTGCACGAAATCCACTTGGTTAATTGGAAATTGGAAACATCGAAATCCTCTATCACTTCGCCATGGAAGTGTTCAAATTTTAGGAAAATTTCGTAGTCTAGGTTGTCAAAGTAATGTTTTCTAATTTCATGATGCTTTTGGTAGTTTCTTTGTTTGTTCTGGAACCGAAATTTATTTAGAAATATTTTTTATCTTAGTTTTCAATCTCTAAAGTATTACTTATTAACAAATAAGATAATAAGTGGCATAACAAAGGAATTTTCTTCAATAATATATTTTGAATTTTCAGTTTGTTCTCTCAGTTCTTCCTATTAGATAATGAGGTTTTTGACTATTCCTTAGTCATTTTCACCCCGTCGAGATAAGACAAAAGTGTGACGGTACCAATATAAATAATAAGAATATTTTTTTTACAAATATTAGAAAAATAAAGATAAAGAAGATGAAGGTCAAAAGGAATCATTAATATCATAACAGAGTTAACTATTTTTATTTCCAAAACTAATCAATTTTAATCTTATTTTTTAAATACGGTCATTTTGAAAACGTCGTTACAAATGAATATTTTTAGAATATTATCTCATCATTGCAAAGGATCAAATTTGGACGGTCCACTTGATCAAATTGATCCTATGTTCATATGTTTGACATAAGGACCATACATCCTTAATCGAGTTTGTGATGAAAATTTATTCACCATCTCGCTTTGTTTCTTTATTATCTCATCATTGCAAAGGACGTTTTTACACATTTTTTGTTTTGTTTTGTTTAAGGACAACATTTGGAATGAGGTTTTTAGGTTAAAGGCATAACTTACAATGATAAATTTAAAAAATGATTGAATTTGAAAAATAATATTGAAATTGACTGGTTTTGAAAATAAAGTTTGTGAGAAATAGGGGTGCACCTTGGGTTGGGCAACCCTATTTCAACCCGAAAAAATTAGAGATTGGTCAAGAGTTTTTAATACTTGGATTGGACTTGAGTTAAAAAACATCAACCCGAATTCAATTTGGGTTGGGCTCGGGTTAAGATCTCGTGAATCCGAATTCAACCCAAACCCGACAAATTAAAAAAAAAATTATATATATAAATAAAGCATTAGTACTGATTTTTTATTTTTGTTCTATCGTTCTCTTTGCCTCTCTCGTTTTCTAAGCCTCTTTCGTTAAAAACTTGGTTGAAGTTATTAGTTGTTAATTTAGGTGAATATTATGTAATATATGTATTTGGTTTAGAACAACAAGCCTATTTTGGGCTCTACCCGAATTGAACTCGTAAAGTAACTCAAAATCATCAACCCGAGCCCGTCCGAATTAAACTCAGGCAGTGCTCGGGTTGAGTTTCCTAACCCAAGGTAGGGTTAGAGTTAGGGTTAAGGTTGAAGATTATATACCTAGCGTTGGGTTAGGGTTGATTGTCCAACCCGCCCGAGTTGCACCCCTAGTGAGAAACATGGGTTTGGTGAATAACTCATCACAGTTGTCTTGCATCCTCTAACACATTTACTAGCAAGAAATCCATTCATTCCGAATGTTGATCCAATTTTCTAGATGTAGGTGGGTGGTTAAAAGAGGTTGACACAACGTGTTTATGCCAAGTGTATTTAGAGGGATGAGTTGAATAAGTGGATGAAATGGAAGGAATTCAAGCTACCTATTAATGGAACGACCAACTAGTGGGGCAAAGGGTAAATAGAGAGGGTAAAGGCCCTCAGACCAAATAGTTATGAACGTCTATAGTGGGCAAGTAATGCAGATGTTTATAGCACAATACCGGGTAGGTCAAGCTACCCCAAGGGTTGCCCACCACGTCCCTCTAACACCTAACCAACATGTAACTGTCTTGACTGTGACAAAACTAGTGGACATCCAGCGTGAGCCACGTGTCTCAACATTAAGTAGGTTGATATAATGTTTCCTTGAGTGTAAACCAAATGCGGCCCCCAAGGAGGAGTGTGACAGACGAGACAAAAAGGGGCTCCTAAGTTCAATGACCATGGATGTGTTGGAATGAAAATCACAAAAGTTGTTGACATATGTATCGAATATCAAAAACATTTCTTTAAAACCTTACAAGGCGGAATTAGAGTTTACTTTCGAGATCTCTCAGGACTAATCTTATCTCAACACGAACGCAGAACAGAATAACAACTACAGCTCGACGAACCTCGCGGCCTTCTGTCATATATCCCCAAATGTCAGAATCCGGATGCAGTGTCGGCTGCCAAGACCTCCAAATCCTTGCTCTCTTTTTCAGCCTCTCTAAAAAAATGTAAGTAAATAATAGATGCAGAAATAGAGAACCTAAACTTCTACATATAGGATACGACAAAGACCCTAATGAGAAGTAAGAACCGGGCTCCTAATGGGCTTATGATTCCTATGTTCAACCCAGAACAAACATTCTACAGTCAATTAATAATAAGTCAGTCCACTAAAGACGTATTAATGATCTCCTAGGCCTTATCTCAAAATTATATTCGAACTCCTTATTATTATATGCTTAATAATCTCCCAACATTTAACATTACAGATGTCCATCAATTAAATAAATCACTAATAATTATATTCAAATAACTTTTTTTATTCCTTGAGATCTTACCACTCAACTTATTTGTCATGTCGGATAATTAAATCCACCTACAGAGTTTGTTATGGACAAAACTTATAGGCTTCCTCAAGAGGACATTATCAACTCATTTAAATACTAGGACATGGTTTCCTTTAATAGTTAATTTTAGGTTAATTGCACTGGAAGGCCCCAAGCTATGAAGTTTGTCTCATTTTGGTCCCCAATATTTCAATTGCATCATTTTGGTCCATAAAATATTGAATATACTTCTATATAGTCCCTTAAGCAGACGATGTCCAGATTGCTAATGATTTTTTATCACAAACTTGTCACATGATACTTAAATGGGGACAAAAAAATAATTTGGATAACTCTTGACCAAATTTTTACTCAAATTTTGATTAAATACCTATTTAAATTATACAATTTTGATCATGAGTTATCAAAATTTTGGTCAAAAGCTACCCATATTACACATTTTTTTGTCAAGAGCTAACCAAATTTTGTTTGAGAGCTATCAAAATTATTTTTTGTCCATATTTAACTATTACTTGACAAGTTTATGATAAAAAATCGTTAGTAATCTGGACGTTGTTTGCTTGAAGGACCATATAGAAACATATTCAATACTTAAGGGACTAAAATGATAAAATTGAAACATTGGGGACCAAAATGAGAAAAATTTCATACTTTGGAGACCTTTAGTGCAATTAACTCTTTAATTTTCACCATACAAATAACATCATCTCCCAATTCACCGAGTTTATTGATTCAATAAGAATCTCACTCTTTGATGAATTAAAGTGATAAACCTTATATGCACGTGACAACTAAATATTTAGGGATTAAGATTATAATAATCATAAGGTATTTATTATCTTATTAAATCAGTAAAAGATAATAACCTTAACATGGGCTTGTTCAATACACAAAATACACATTGTAATAATCCGAGACATCAAACAATCTCTTATAGTCAAGACAGACTACGTCAGAATATAATACTACAATTATACCGATGGCGTATCTGATTTCATCTACGATTGTGAACATATACTCATATTATACAAAGATCCGATAATCTGGTCTTCTGTACATAAGTCGAACTTTATACACTAGATTATCTACAATGTAAAATATAAGACACACATGCATATCATATATAAAATATAATACAAATATTTTGCCCATATAGATTCTCAAAAAAATGGAAAGAACAAACTTTCATTAATTAATAAAATAAGTTTCACTACAAAAAAAAATCAAACTTTTAGTATACTATTTTATCAGATGATCACCTCGAGAGGGCCATGTTTGTAATGCCTGCAGCACAATCTTTCATGGGTTCCTGTCTTCCTTCTCTAAACCATTTCTCGAGACCTTTGTCAAGGTTCCCAATAGAGGCACCAATTCACGTGTCCCACCATCCATTATATTGCTACGGTCCAATGACCCCAGTTACCTTAGTAGTCTATCTGGGTCCCAGTCAA